TGTTATCTCAGGAGATTCATGGAACCAAGTTTCTCTTCGTATCTACAAAAAACTTACTTTAGAAATAGTCTGACAGAGCAATCTAGGCAATATTGTCTACCTCTAAGAAGTGAATTGTAAACTGCTAATCAAGCATCCGATCCGAAAACGTAGCTACAAAAATCCGATGGTTTGTTTGGCTACCTTAACTATTTCTAGACTTGCTTGCAAATTACGATGCTGCGTAGACTGGCGATCTCCGTTTCGATTCCCAAAATGGTCTGTACTGTGTCGGGTGGTTTTGATGTCTGTTCTCGTGTCTCTGCAAACGTGTGTTTTATGCTTCAGCACTTTGAGGGCGGTCAGCAGCCAACTTTCCACCACATCTCCGGCTATCCAAATCAGAGCCGACCCTTAGTTACGCTTTCTCCGTTTGGAGATGCACCTCAGACGGAGATGGACACTCTGAGATCGGCAACTGACAATAGTGTCCTGGGCAAATCTGAGATCATGAGTATACCGTTCGGTTAGGCTTTCATACTGCTCGTGTAACCGGTGCTGACATTCCTCTCGTGCTGTTCTGCAAAGCCCCGTGAGCATAAGTGAGCAGAAAATAGTCACTTTAGAGTCTGCAAGATGCGATAGTTTGCATTAATTTATGCACATTTCATTGAATCCCTCTGACCTGATAACCACTCTTCGGCCTGACAACCAGTGGGTAAGTGGAGGTATTTTTTTCCGGGATGAATATAAACTGGACTGTAACCTGATGACTCTAGGCCAACAAGTTTCAGATTTCATACAAGAGACAAAAGCTTAAGACACCAACTCTCAGTTACTGGTGCAATTGGCTTAAGAGCATAATTGTTACTTTCTCGTGGCGGACACAGGAAAAGCTAAAATGGCATAGCCTAGTTTTAAAAGGCCCGATTAAATAGTCACAATTCTCAACGAAATTTCGAAATCCTTTTATTCTTTCCTGCTTTATTCTTCATGGTATTAACGCCAGAACTATAGTGCAACTCCTAATATTACAATGTTTCTCAAGCCCGATTTTTAACCGATCCATTCTAATAATTTATTGGCTGATATTGAATTCGTTTAGATAACAGACTGTTTCTATTATCCGATTGGCAACTTTGCTTTTACAGTATGCATTTCGGTCAGCTTGGGTTGCTTAAAATAATATAGAACTAAATGTTGATATTTTATACACTCAATGAGTCCTACTTCATCTTAAGTCACCAAAGATTATCACAGTTATTGCTCAAGATCTAATGATGCCTTTGAGGCCTACTTGATGCTTATTGTTCGTTGGTAAGCAGATTTTCTAGACTACCAGTATATGCTTTGTATGAAATGTATTCACTCTATTTAGTTTAAGGTGAGATGATATGAGTAGACCGCAATCGACTGCAGTTTCGACCTCACCTGAACTAGTCTCATCAACACCCCCAGCGGGACCCAGACCACGACAGTGCAGTATATGCTCTGGACACGTCAACCACTACGTCATTATACACGAAAAAAGATGAAAACTTCACATATATCTAATCTACTGGTAGCCTTAAAAGCCTACTTATAAACGGAAAATAAGTAGTGTAGTCAATTGGTATAGCAAGCATAACATTACTTCATCGACAATCCTACCAAATAATGGGTTATACTAAAATACCTGGCCTTCATAGGAATTCACACATACTCTGTGACCCAAGGGCATTCGGAGCAATGTGGCGTAGTGGTTATCGTGTCGAGATTATGCGCTGCACTGGCATCGTTCGAGTCCCGCTGGGGGTGCTGGTGAGACCAGATCAGATGAGGTCGAAACTATAGTCCCGTCCACTCTTGCCCTTTTGAGAAGCAAAGCTATGAAAATTCATTGACAGCCTAAGGTCTACTCATATCATTGTTGGAAAATTCAACTACCATTCTATGCATACCTTTTGCATATTTAATATTAGAGAAGTTATAAACCCGATATTTTAAATTCTGGGAGGAGATCTTACGTTATTCTAGCCTTAACAACACTCAAATTAACTCGCTCACCAAAATTTGGTCATATTTACCCCTCTACAAACTTATGGCTAAGCATTTTAGACTATCTTGTATCCTTTTTCCTAGAAATCAACGTCTTTATGCAAATTCTGCGATAGGTGAGGCTTCAAGTTTAGCTTATCAGTTTACCTTTCTTTTTGGGATGTTTTAGTTGGCATAGCAAAAAAGAATTTAGACGAAGATCCATGTAGGAAGCTAGATCATGATATCAATGTTTTAAGCTTCTTTTTAACTATAAATACAAAATAAGAGTGAGTCTTTTAAAAGCAACTCTTTTTCCGAGTATACGCTTAACCGATAGAGACCATTTTGATTATGAGCTGAAT